CCAGATCAAGAACTTGATTCCCAATTGCATGGATTCTTCTTCTTCTTCTTCGATAACCCTAATTGACATCCATCAAAGAAGTGTTCAATTCGAGACTCCAAGTTGCCGTCACCAAAGAACCCCCCTGATATCATCGCCTTCGACATTGGGAGGTCTAGAAGGAAAGATGAGAGGATTTTGGTACACGCAAGAGGGAAATAAAAAACCCCCAATTTTCGTTGTTGTTGATGATGGGAAAAATGCAGATCTCCGATGGAAAGATGAAGAAATCAGTTCAACGCCGGCGAGAAAACGAGGAAAGAGGAAGCAGACGAAGCTTCCACGGCGATGAGGAAACTGGCCATAGCACTGCTTAGCTCAAATCGTCACTGTCTCTGTTCACCTCCGAAGTGCTAAGCTCAAATCAAAACCATTTTGTTAGAAAAAAAGAACGCAATGGAGGGAAAAAATCGGAGCTTTTCATAGGAAGCTCCGTCTGCTCTAGAAAAAGAAATAGAAGAAGAGGATGCCGACGATTGTAGTTCAGAAAGAAGAATTGGAAAAAGAAAGAGAAAGAGTCAGGAGCCCAGGGAAGAAGACGAAGAGAGTGGTGAAGAAATAGAAAAGGGGCAAAGTGGGGAGAGGGATAACGTGGAACGCGTTATTTGTAAATAACACCTCTCGAGGTGTTATTTTAAATAACCCATTTTCGCGTTAATTGTAAATACCACGGGCCAGAATAACTTGTGCTATTTTTTTCTGCCAAACGTGTTATTTCGGGCTAAATAACTCACAACGAGTTATTTAAGCCCAAATAACTCATTCTAATAACTCATCCAAACGACCCCTATGCCATAATTTATGATACAAAAGAGCCCAGTCAATTAACAACTGTGTGACGTAGGCATTGCAACAACAACTAGCTTGTTTATGGAGTCGACTTTAGGACTTGAGTTTTTTCCTTTCAAAACTATTGTTACTTAGAAGGCCACTCTATTCCTTTACTCCACATGTTGGACAATAAAAGAAGAGGCAGACGCCTGGACAAAGAGCTTTATAACAATGGGAAGCTAACTCTCCATTGTTACTTCCGTACATGCACCAAAAGAGAAAAGAAAGGAAGCAAAGAATAGATAACAAAGGTCTATCATAGCCTCTATAAGCCCAACAAAGGTCAACAACCCACACAAACACAATCATAAAGCCTCTGCATATTTTCATTCTCTGGATATCGATTTGTTCATAGACCAATTTGTCAATTTGAAAAAGTCACAAGGCCGCCAATGAAATTACTTCAAGCTTAGGTCACTAAATTCAACCAAGAACCTTCCAAATTCATTACAGAAGTCTTTCTTTTGTGTGAGTGAAACCAGGCTATTCTTGAAACAACAAATCCTAGCTCGTGAAGGAGAAAGGAAGGAGGCTACCTATAAAAGCTTCTAAAGTTTTCATAACTTCCCAAGGATTGTTTTTATCGAACATGTTTTTAGTTACTTCACATGGCGTAAATCTTTGGGTTAATACAATTTAATATCCAAATCTTTCATTTTAAACAATATGATAGCCAAACCTTTTCGAAAACAATCTAATATCCAAATCGTCAACTTTCCGTCCGTTTGACCGTTAGTTGACACTTCAAAAAAGTTCGAAGTACTACACTTCATCAATATCAATCGATATCTTCTCTGAAAACCACCAACATATCGTGGTTCCAAACCCGAGAAGTCCATGACTCCACCATGATGGTATAGAATATCTAAATATTCAGTCATCTGCAATGCCAAAACAAGAAAACAAAGTTGTATTGTGACAATTTCCCCTAAATAAAGCTTTTTTGAAGTGTCAACTAACGGTCAAACGGACGGAAAGTTGACGATTTGGATATTAGATTGTTTTCGAAAAGGTTTGGCTATTATATTGTTTAAAATAAAAGGTTTGGATATTAAATTGTATTTACCCTAAATCTTTTGTATATATATTTTTTATTTTAGGCTCATAAGACTCCATAAATAAAGTTTGACATGACGAGTTTCATCACATCTTTATCAATTGAATTATTTGTTTGAGTGCAATCTCAAAATTTCTTGTATTCTTGGTTATTTCATAGAATTGAGTAGTTAGTTGGCATCGACGCTATCAACCAGATGATCATTTCGACTATAATGGGTAGGTGCTCGGCTTATTCTTTCGCTTTTGTTATCATTTCGACTATAATTTATCTTTTTTTGATTTTTTATGGTTTTTCGAGTGTTAAAGGAAATGGAATGACAAAATTGAAAGTATGCAACATTACATGATTTTTCGAGACAGGTTCCGTGTTCCCTTTTGGATTTTCATCACTAAACTTCACCATAATTTTACTATTATCGCCCTAATTTAAAGATAAAAATAACATAATTATAAAAAAGGAAACAAAACAAAAATTGCAAATGAACACACAGGTAAATTCCAAGGTTGGTCACTGGGATTATGGTCATTGAAAATATTTAATTCTAAGAATAGTCACTAAAATTAGTTTAGCAGCCCACGTTTTATCACTCTCCGTTAGTCTCCGCCCAACTCCGTTAATGGAGTCCATTAAGTGCTGACGTGGCAAACGAAATTACCTAATCAGTCCGATTTAAACAAAAAAAATAAAATCCAATCTGCCACATCATTAAAACCAACCCAACCCATGGCACAACCCTTTCTTTTCTTCCCTATATGACCCGACCTAAACCTTTTCTTCTCTATTTGAACCCTTGGCGGTGATATGACTCCGGAGATTTGGAGTAGCGGGGAGATTCCAGAGAGGTGAACAACGACGACGTCGTATCGACAACAAGGAGAATGTCACTCGGGATCTTGGTCCTTGACCCCTTGCGAGCTGCTCAATCTCGATTTCCCATCCTCCGACTCCAAATACTCCTTCGAATCCTCCGTAATCGTGAACAGAAACCGCAGCGGCTCGACGAGATTGTGCAGTCGCATTGGTTCCAATTCCACGCTTTCTTCCCCTCCTCCACCTTACCCGACAGCGCCCTTGAGCAGCAAATTTTTCCCCTCATCTTAGCCGAGTTCGAGGTCGAGTTCGGATGGGAAATGGGGCTTCGGGTTGGGTTTGGCGATGGCGTCCGAGGATGAAGGCTTCTTTCAGTAGACGAGACGAATCAACTCCAAACACAAATGGAGGCCACCGCCTCGTCGGAACTAGACCCGCTGAAACCTGACCCGGACTCCGAACTCTTCTACCCTGAAGACTTCGACAACACTTGCTTCATTCCCTTCATCAGCGCCCCATTCAGCCCCGGCCGTAATGGCACCAAAGGCGGCAACGGAGGAGGCTTCTTTTACAGCTGGTCAGAGAGCTCCAATGCAGTAAAAATTGGAATTTTACGTAAAATAAAAAATTGAGGTAAAATCGGTATCGTGGATTAAAATCATAAGATTTTAAGGTTCATATTAAAATAAACACGTAAAACACCATATAGTAATAACAATGCATATAATGAATAACAGTCAACCACATATAACCTAATTACTTCCAAAGATAAGTTTGTTTGCTAAATAAACACAAATAAATTCATAGATTTATTCATGTACATAACAAAAACACACAAATAAGCAACCTGAAACCTCATAGAAGTCACTTAATCTGGTTAATAGTTAAGATTAGAAAATCAGATAAAATCGTTAGGATCAACATTAACATCCCTCTCACATCAACATCTCATTCTCACTCAAATAAATTCATAGATTTATTCATGTACATAACAAAAACACACAAATAAGCAGCCTGAAACCTCATAGAAGTCACTTAATCTGGTTAATAGTTAAGATTAGAAAATCAGATAAAATCGTCAGGATCAACATTAACATCCCTCTCACATCAACGTCTCATTCTCACTCTCATACTCATAGAATCCTTGTTTATTTTCTTGGGGAATGATATCATTATTCTTAGGTTCACTTGAAACACTTTGACTATTAACTCATTGATTGATGTATTCCCTACCTGGTCGATCAAAGGTTGAGGATATTGGTGCTGGAGGTTTGGTCGATGAATGAAAGCTTGCAATGGAATGGGGAGTGAGCTAATTGCGAGGGTAGTGGGAACAAAATATGAGCTAATTGGGAGGGTGGAGGAAATCGTTGATGGAAGGAGTCTGGCATCGGTGTATGGAAGAGGAAGAGAACGAAAATCAATTGAGGATCTTCTATAAATGAGGGTTGTGTTGTTCATTATATTGGGCTGGGGAAGTGAACTTGACCTGCTTCATGGGCAAAACCAGATCTATTCGGCTTGATTTTGCTCTAATTGACATGAACCTTGAAAGATTTTAGAGTTTTCTTTTACAACTGGTCAGCGTGCTCAATTCACTTCGCTATCACTTCCGCGACGGCCGCTCACCGCTCCTCGTACGATGACGACACATGCGACGACGATTTTGACTACGACGGAGGAGGAAGTAGTGTTAATAATGGCAGGAGCCTGATGCAGATGGGGTACGAGTTCTAATTCTCGACGAGATTCAAATATGTTGGGCCGGGTCACACCGAATCCATGAGCTCGGCCGACGAGCTGTTCTTGAACGGCCAGATCGGCCCATGAAGTTCTCCACTCACCTCGAGAAGCCCCAAGTCCTCACGCCATTACTGGATTTCAACGAGGAGGAAGAAGGAGATCCAGAGCTCGGTAATAAGAAAGGATTTCACCGTGAGTCAAATAATGAAGAAGAGAGAGGTTTGGGTTATGGGTTTGGTGGTTTTAATGATGTGGCGGGTCGGGTTTTATTTTTATTGGGTTAAATCCGACTGATTAGGCGATTTCGTTTGCCATGCCAACATTTAACGAACTCTATTAACGGAGTTGGACGTAAACTAAGAGAGAGTGACCAAACGCAGACTGTTAAACTGATTTAGTGGTCATTATTAAAGTTAAATATTTCTAGTGACCAAACGTAACGTTTCTAGTAATCATAGTGACTAAACTTGCAATCTACCCCCGAACACACCGAACAAAAACCACTCCTCCCTCTCTAAGCTGCCAACGTCCGCCGCCTGCACCCAATTCCGGAGGTTGCCGCTGTCGTTCTCCTCTAGCAGCGCACTCGCTACCACAGTCTCTCCTTCCGGAGGTTGCCGCCCGTTTCAGGTAATGACGATGTAGTAGTCGATAGATATCAATTGTTATATTCGTCCCTATTCATATCTAAACCTTTGTGTCTACTCTCTTTGTCGCTTGTAATTCCCAGCTTCTACTTTCTAGGGCTTTAGACTGAGAAGCCGAGTTGTTACTTGCGCTTTCTTCTTCTCCGTATCTCAGCTGTTCGTTTGAGCTCTGCTACTAATATGGCCGCGGGTAGTGGCGGCAAGGACCAGTCGCATAAAGCCCACAGGTCCAGTCAAGCGGGTGCTTCCTCGAAGAGTCACAAAGCAAAGGCGAGGAAGGCCGGGGCTAATGGTGCAGCAGTGGTGCGTGGAGGATGGAACCCTAATCTCGCAGGGAATGATGATATGGCCCGGGCAGGTAGAGGGAAGAAGAGGCAGCGTGAGGGGCAAGGTGCAGTGGCCTCGCAGGAATCGGACAAGCCTAAGCAGCCATTAACGAAGATGGAAAAGGTAGATAGAAAGAAGAGGCGGCGGCTTGGAGAGGATAGTGCTCTGGCGGAGCAGAAGAGACAGAACCCTAAGGTGCCTTTTCGACATCCATGATTTGCAGGATAATTGTATTACTTCAGCATCCTGCCATTTTTGTTTAGTCACTCTTTGAGGTCATTGTTTAGGCTTTTGCGTTTACTTCAAGTGGGAAGGCAAAAAAGATGCAGTCGCGGGCTGTGGAGAAAGAACAGCGCAAACTTCATATACCGAGTATTGATCGGACTTATGGCGAGCCAGCTCCTTATGTTGTTGTTGTGCAGGGGCCTCCTAAGGTGCATATGTCATTTTTGTTACCCCCCTTTTCATGGATATAATCGATCATATCATCATTTGGTACTCTTAGCTTTTGTTGCTTCTGCTGGATGTCACCTGGGTGAGGCAGTATTCATAAGAAACATAAACTACCAGCATGTTTAGCAACTGTGTTCTTGATTAATGAACGTACCTCTATAATTACATTGGAAGAAGCTTGTTTGTTGACTCTTATTCGCACTCCTGGAAAAAAAGTAATTACTGTTGCATTTCTGGAGTTCGAGAGCTGATTTGGGCTGTTCTACACATTTGGTGGCAGGTTGGGAAGTCACTTCTGATCAAGTCTCTCATTAAACATTACACAAAGCATAATCTGCCAGAGGTTCGAGGCCCAATTTCTGTTGTCTCAGGTTTGCATTTGAATCGTTCTTCTATCTTATGCTACTGATATGATATGGTTTGCTTGTCACATGATTTCCCATAATGTTTGTTTCCGAATATGTCAGGTAAGAAGAGAAGGGTCCAGTTTGTGGAATGCCCAAATGACATCAATGGCATGATAGATGCTGCCAAGTATGCTGATTTAGCTTTGCTTTTGATAGATGGAAGTTATGGCTTTGAGATGGTGGGTTATCTCATTACTGATAGTTGCCTCTATCATTTACATTTTCATGGTTGATACTGCCTATTTTTCATGTAGCTCTGTTTCCTTTAAGTATACCTAGAATGATGTGATGCTTCATAAAAAATTTTAAAGTTTGTCATCTTGCTTAAGTATACCTGGAATGCTAAAATGCACGTCTTTATAGTATTTCTAAAGTCCTTCGGCAGTCATAGCTTCTTACAACTGATAGTTGCCTCTATCATTTACATTTTCATGGTTGGTACGGCCTATTTTTCATGTAGCTCTGTTTCCTTTAAGTATACCTAGAATGATGTGATGCGCTATAAAAATTTTAACAGTTTGTCATCTCACTTAAGTATACCTGGAATGGTAATGGTAAAACGCACGTCTTTATAGTATTTCTAAAGTCCTGCGGATGTTATAGCTTCTTACAACACAGAGTTATGACTTCTAAAAACTGATGAACCAACATACGTAGTTGAACCGCATGCCATTTGGTTCCTCGTTATTGGGGTTTTCCCACTTAGTGATGTATCTGCACGCTCTTTGTACTATTGCACTGTTTAACTGGGGTTTTCTCAGACTACACCTTCACTTTGCATTTTTACTAGTCCATTTTTCCCTGTCTTTTATATTTCTCTAGTTTTTTTTTTAATGTATATCAATGTTTGTACTCATGTGGTTAACTTAATGTTGCAGGAGACATTTGAGTTTCTTAATATCTTGCAAGTGCATGGATTTCCTAAGGTTATGGGAGTCCTTACGCACCTTGATCAATTCAAAGACGTGAAGAAATTGAAGAAAACTAAAGAGCGGCTTAAGCATCGTTTCTGGACTGAAATATATGATGGAGCCAAATTGTTCTATTTGTCTGGGCTGATTCACGGGAAGTAAGTCTATAAACACCTACTCTGTTTGTGTTGCCTGGTAGTCTAGCATACATAATATCACTTTTAAGTGCATGTTCTGTTCTCTTCATTCTAACAAGTTGAATGAATAGGTACCCCAAACGAGAGGTCCACAATCTTGCTCGATTTATTTCTACCAAGAAATTTCATCCATTGTCTTGGAGGACTTCTCATCCGTATGTTTTGGTTGATCGGTTTGAAGATGTAACACCACTGGAAAGAGTGCGTGAAAACAGCAAGTGTGACAGGAATGTGACTGTCTATGGCTATTTGCGGGGTTGCAACTTAAAAAGAGAGATGAAGGTATGCTACCATTAGCTTCTTTGTCCTTCAGTTTACTTAAAAAGAAATAGTTTAAATCCGCGGAGTCAGAGAAAAGTATTTATTTTCCAAACTGAATATAGGCATCGATTGTTTTAAAAGGTGCCTAATGCTTTGTGGCTCTTACCAATTTGCAGTAGGAATATATATCTTCAGCTGGAGCTAATTTTTGTGTCCCTTTCAGTAGGGATTGGTTTTTTGCTGGGGAGGCTTGTGCCGGAAGTTTTTTTTTGTCTTATCTGCCAGCATTTCAATTTTGTTTTTAATCATAGAACCTTGTCTTCAGGTGCATGTCGCTGGAGTTGGTGATTTCAGTCTGTCTGGTGTCACTGCATTGCCTGATCCTTGCCCACTGCCATCGGCGGCAAAAAAGAAGGGACTGCGTGACAAGGAGAAATTATTCTATGGTCCTATGTCCGGGCTTGGGGATCTGCTTTATGACAAAGATGCTGTCTATATAAACATCAATGACCACTTTGTTCAGTTTTCTAAGGCCAATGATGAAGAGGGGGACGTAGAAAACAAAGGTTCGTTACAGTATCCTATCAATGTCAGGGTTATTGCTTTTGGTTGAATCTGTGTATCCTCTTCTCTACATATTCCTCTTTGACTTTATAGATCTTTCTGTATCTAACCCCTTTATATGACCTTGATTCCACGCTAGCCCAACGATTGCTGGCATCTTAAGAAAAAATGTTTTCCCAGAACTTGAAAAAATGTTTAGTGTGATGAGATTTGTTGATTATCTTGGTCCTTCCTGTTTCTGTAACTAGGGATAAGAAATTTAAACATACTGTCCTTAGTGATGTGTTGCCAAAGATGTTTTAACTAGGGTCCCTTGTTTTCACTGTTTGTTTTATTCTCTCTTCATTCTCTAGATAGCCATGACGTATAACCAAGATTTTCATTGCACTTAATAAAATGTATGATGTATAATCCTTGTCTCCTATGGTAGTAAGTAATTTCATTGTCATTGAAAAATATCTATGTGCACCTTTCATGCCAGGAAAGAACCAAGATGTGGGAGAAGCTCTGGTTAAATCCCTGCAGAATACTAAGTATTCACTTGACGAGAAATTGCAAGAAAGCTTCATTTCCCTTTTCAGTAGAAACAAGAACCTTTTACCTGAACATCAGGGCAGTAATAATAAGATTGAGGATCATATGATCGATATGGAAGCTGCAAAACAAGGTGATCTGGTGGAAGAAACTGAACCTGATGGGCCTACCAAAAGCGATACTGAAGATTCTGATGGTTCAGCATCCTCAGACAACAATGATGCCGCTCCAGAAAAGCTAGCTTTCACTGAGCATGTTGAACTTCATGGGGGGAGGTTAAGGAGAAAAGCTATGTTTGAAAATGACTATGATGACACAGAGAAGGTATATATTGTCCTCGGTTACATGTTTTATGTTGATTTGTTGTCAGATTAATCTCATGTGCTCTCAGGTTGTAGGTGTCCATCCACATGCTGTCTTGCACAATCTTCTGCTATAAGCATGTGTAGAAAACTTCACAAGATTATATCATCATAAAAGACTTCTTTTTAACTTATTGAATTTTTAGTGTTGAAGCTTTCTTTCTGATAGCGAAGTTATTTGTGAATTTAGGACTCTCATGATGGGATCGAAGATGATCATGATGGTGACACAAAAATTTCAGATGATGATGTATCGTCCTCGGATTCAGATTCTTCGGAAGAAGATGGGGAAGTTGAGAAACTTGATGGTATTTCCTTTTCACTCACTTGCTAATATTAAGTTGTTTTTGTCATTGCTTAATGAAAACCTTCGGTACCATTTCTGCACCAGTGATGGCATTAATCTTGGTTTAACTAACTTTTTCTTTGATTTGGTATGAGAAAAACACTTCAATTGTGTTATTTCTGTACTTACTGATTAAGTTGGTGGCATATGGTATACTACCGGATTATTTTTCATGACTTGAAAAGGGAATTGGTGACTGCTGATTTACTTGGACTTTTAAATCTTACAGAAACTTTATCCAGGCTTCCTTGATTAGCAAGGGATAATGTTTTCATCAATTACCTCTTAGTTGGGGCTAAGTGGTTGTTTGGTGATAGTTTGGCTGAGATTGTTAATGCTTTTATTGTTCACAATTCATCATTTTTTATTTTATTTTATGCATAAACAATACAAGCATTGTTTGTGACAGAAAATATCACTAAAAATGTGGGATAGAAAAGTCTTATCTCTTAGGTGAGATTGTTGAAATAGTTATTTGATGGTTATTGACCCCAAGGTTCGAATCTAAGATGTGGTGGATTTGTTGAGCTAGTTTAGGTGAGATTGTTGGGTTCTTTTTTGTTCCAACTATATCCCTAACTTTTTATGTGTTGTTTTTTTTAATATTAAAAACGTAAAAGTGATACTTCACTCAGAAAGCGATATAATTAATTTTAATATTACTATAACTATCACAAAAACAAAACAATGCAATATACCAATTATTACATGTATAATATTGTACATGTATTGATCACAATGATCAATTTAAGTATTAAAAAACTACACGACCCGTAAGTTCATTTTGTTACTTGATGGTCAAATTCTTGAAGTTTACCTCTGTTTGGATTGTCTTGTACTAGATGATCATATGGGAAACATGTCAAGATGGAAAGAGTCATTGACAGAAAGGACTGGGTTAAGGAAAAGCACAAATCTCATGCAACTTGTGTATGGTAATTCTGCATCATCAATGGAGCTTCGTGCTCAGGAGAAGCTAGACACTATTGACAATGTGGATAGTGATGAAGAAGACTTCTTTAAGCTGAAAGGGGAAGGGGATAAGGTGAGAACAATTGTTGATGCGCAAGACTTGTAGTATTCCAGTCAAATACTGGTTTGTGACCATCTTACATTCTTATTCATCACAGAAACAAAAAGGTCAAAATGATGCCTACTTTGATGCTGAAGATTGTTCCAAATGTATGAAGTATACTGGCCAAAACTGGAAGGAGGTGAACATATATGAGAGGATTCGTGACCGATTTGTCACAGGCAATTGGTCAAATGCTGCTCGGAGGAATGAACTTTCTGTGGGAGATGCTGAAGATGAAAGTTCGAATGACGATGATGATGCAGCTGTAGATGGCGAATTCGAAGACTTAGAAACTGGTGAGAAATATGGATCTACGGAAACTGGTCCTCAGGAGGAAGACGACCGTGCGGCAGAGAAGCGGAGGCTTAAAAAGCTGGCCCTTCGAGCAAAATTTGATGCTCAATATCCTTCTAAGCTGTAAATTGTTTAGATTTATGTCAAAACTGTCTCAAACATAACAATTTTTAATTGAATACCTGCCAAATGCATGCTTATGGTGATTCACATAAATAGTCTCAAAATTGCTCTTCTGTGATATGTGCTATATTGGCCAAAATATGTGCTTTGTTGGACCTTAATTTCTGTTATACATTTGATGTATCTGAATCGATGGAGGATGAAGAGGATGAGAAACGTGGATTCACTTCAATGGACAGTGAAGCAAACCAAAGTTCATATATCGAAAAGGTGCGGTTTCTGCATCATTCTCCATTGTAATTTGCACACAGTTGGTTACAGGTAATGTTTTATTGTTAGCATAACGTGATTCTTTATCTATATTCTTGATTCTTCCAGCTGAAGGAGGAGAGTGAACTGCTGAAACAGAAGAATATAGCTGAACTAAATGAACTGGATGAAGAATCACGATTGGCGATAGAGGGCTTCAGAACTGGGACATACATGAGACTGGAGATTCAAAATGTTCCATTTGAGATGGTTGAACATTTTGACCCTTATCACCCACTTTTAGTGGGAGGAATTGGTTTTGGTGAGGAAAATGTTGGATATATGCAGGTTAGTCATGTACCTCACTATTCGTATGTGTTTCGCCTTAGCAGTATATAATTGTTTTGACTTTGTATTTTGAATTCTTACAAAAGCTCAATTGAGTTTGGAAGTAATTTAATGTCATTTAGCTCATTCTTTCTCCCCTCTTCACTTTGCAATAAGTATCTGAAATATTTGTTTACTTTTCAGGTTAGGCTAAAACGGCACAGATGGAACAAAAAGATCCTCAAAACTAAAGATCCCATAGTTTTATCTATTGGCTGGAGGCGGTACCAAACAACACCTGTTTATGCAATTGAGGACAGGAATGGAAGGCATCGCATGCTGAAGTACACTCCTGAACACATGCACTGTCTTGCCATGTTTTGGGGGCCGTTGGCACCCCCAAACACTGGTGTGGTTGCTGTGCAAAATCTGTCCAACAACCAGGTTACTCTCTCACTTATCGTTCACTTGGCAGTTTTTATGAATTAGTACTTTGTCAGTGTGTTTCACTTGTTGCTTTTATAGTGGAATATTGGAATTGCATGGGTGGGGTACTGAGCGCAGGCGATTGTTTGTCTATTTGCTTGCACAATCGCTTGACCAAATTGGGTGTAGAAAAGGGTGATAGGGATAAGATGGTCTTAATTTATCAAGGTGTGTAGTGTCCAAGATGTGTATTGGTCAAGTGAACCCCTATTTACTTGTGGTTTAGGTAACCATCTTAGCAAAACCAAGTCCTTGTTTTCCTCCTTACATAAATAGATATCAACTGCAAGTATATGTATGGGGAACACTACCAAGAAATTGTAAGTGGATGAGATTTGGAGTCTGCATGTGAGGAAGTTAGTGACAGTGTTTTGCATCTTTGTTTTGTGTTACTTCAAACTTTGAAACTCTCTTTACATGCATGCTGCTCAAGCCTTGGAGAATGAGTTAGTAAGGTTTTCTTTTGCTCCCAAGGCTCTTGAGACTTCTCTACTTTAGTTTCCATTTTGAGATCTTAACGGTCTTGAGACTTCTCTTTAGCCTACTACTCGTGGATAACTGTTAATGCATAACATAGTCGGGGAGCTTGGGTCAATTTCAGGATTGCAGCTTCACGGAAATGATACACACCCTATCTTTTGTGTTATTTTGTAAATAAAACTGATGATGTGGTATATTTTTTGGTGTTACTCAGACCATTAATTTCAGTGGCATAAGTGCACATTTTCCTTCTAGTGCTAGCATAAAGATTTAACTTGTGTTTTGTTATTCATGTGAATTAATTTCTTGTGTTTGTTCTAATCAATTCTCTTGTATACTAAATACTTGGGCCTTGTATATCTCAGGCATCATTTAGGATTAGTGCCACTGCAACTGTTCTCGAGTCCAATCATGCTGCAAAAATAATGAAGAAGATCAAGTTGGTTGGCTACCCATGTAAGATTTTCAAGAAGACTGCACTAATAACAGACATGTTCACTTCCGATCTCGAGATTGCACGGTTTGAAGGTGCGGCTGTCCGAACTGTAAGCGGTATCCGTGGACAAGTTAAAAAGGTATCAATGCCCTAATTTCATTTCCTTTTCCTGACCCCAATCCATCTTTACCAATTTGTTGCATGCCCGGGGAAATCTTGGGATTAAATTTATACATATATGGACAAAGTATGAGATATAAAGCCATGGTTCGTTAGTTAACTTGCTTCAATGTCGGGATGCATGCAGGCTGCAAAGAAGGAAGTTGGTAATCATTCCAATAGCAAAGGGGTAATACCAAAAGAAGGAATTGCCCGGTGCACCTTTGAGGACAAAATTTTGATGAGTGACATCGTTTTCTTGCGAGCATGGACACAAGTGGATGTCCCTCAGTTTTATAATCCATTGACCACAGCCTTGCAACCACGGGAGACCATTTGGCATGGGATGAAAACTATGGCTGAATTGAGGAGGGAGCATAGTCTTCCTCTGCCGACTAACAAAGATTCTATGTACAAGGTGATTCTTTTTTCCCAATTTTCAATTTGTCTTCCTGAAGTGTTTCTGCGTGTTTAGGCTTTGCTTGTAGTTGCATCTGCTGTAACTTCGGGGTAAAAACTGATCTCTGTCTTTTCCCCCCATATTCCTTTGGATGATATAGCCAATTGAAAGGTTCCCAAGGAAGTTCAACAAGCTGGTGATTTCCAAGCAATTGCAGAAAGATCTCCCGTTTGAATCGAAACCCAAGGACATTCCAAACAGGAGGAAGCCTCTTCTTGAGAGGCGAAGAGCCGTTATCATGGAGGGTGCCGAGCGACAAGTTCATGCTCTTGTTCAGCAGCTCCAATTCATTAAAAATGAGAAGGTATGCAACTCTGAACCGAAATTAAGCAGAGCTATAAGTGTCCTTTTTTTAAAAAGTTTTTTCGTAGAAGTGAAGTTGCGGAGAAAGTGTGTTTGGTTGGCTTGATGTGTTAGATATGATATAATGTTTAGTATAAGAAAGTAAATGACGATATAGATAATTGGTTTATTTATAAATAAATGAATGTTTATTTAGAATTGACGGTTGGAAATAGCAGCTTTAACAATGGATTCAGTTGGAATAGTTGGGTTGAAGAATTGTCTTACCAACTCTTTTTTAAATTGACAATGGTGTGGTTTAGTAAATGTAGTGGACTAGCCAGTTGCATTTCAATATATGTTATTAGCTTAGGGTTTAGTAAATTGACAATGGTGTGGCTTCTCTGATTCCACAGGTGAAGAAACAAAAGCTTACAAAAGAGCGGAAAAGAAAACTACATGAAGTCGAGGAAGCTAAAGCTGAAGAGGTTTCGAAAAAGCGCAGAAGAGAAGAACGGCGGGACAGATACAGGGTCGAAGACAAACTGAAGAAGAAACTGAGGGGACGCAATTAACCGAGCACAAAAGTATTTATTGCGTCACTGGATGCTGTTAATCCTCCGAGCTCTTGAGATGCATTTTCCGGGTCGTTTGCTTCATGAAAATGAAGGAAAGTTTTGGTAAAACTTGTGTTTTGTAAAACCATAGATATATGAAGGTTTTAAGGGGTCGTTTGGTAAGCATGTAATCTACACATGGATTTCAAGATTACATGATATTTGAGATTTCACTGTTTTTCTTGTTTTAATTTTGGGCAGATATCATGATATTGGTGCACCATGTAATTCTAAAATTCATGTGATCAACCCAAAACATTTGAGATTTCATGCCAAATTATGTGGGTTCTACTATGAACTCATGCAAGCCAAACAATGCATTCTAATATTACACAAGTTCTCACAACTCAACTTAAAGTTCATAGAGCCCACGGATTTGTGGTCATAAAATACATCAAACAAACAATACTTTGAACAAAGTTCATAATAAATCCAAGGCCAAATACACTTGTGTAGCCAAAACTTTAATGGTTTGGCCAAATATAACCATTTTTGACGAAATACCAAAAAAATAGCCACTTCCATCCAATTCTTTAACGGGGTCAAGTAACGGGCTGATTGGACTGACGGCATTGCTGAGTTGACGACCGTTAGTCATTTAAAAATGTGAGGTGAAAACTAAAAATAAATAAAATGAATATTTTTTTTTTATTTTCTCTCTCCATCTCTCTTTTCCCAATCCCTTCCCGGCTTCCCCAGCCGAAATTCTCTAAAATCCGATTGGGATTTTCTGATGTTGAAACCTCCCAATTCTTTGTTCTTCCCCATCTCTCGATTCTTCCACCTCTCTTCTTCCCCATCTCTCGATTATTCCATCACCGCTGGAGAATCGCCATTTATAGAATCTCCGAACTCGCCATTAAGATCGAGGATGATACTCGAGCTGAGGGAGAAGGAAAGGATTCTGCTTCTGTCTTCCACCTCCCAGAGTTCCCGTTCCACCGCCGGCGCTCCCTTGGGCCAATCAATCGAAAGGCATCAACATCCTCCCGTCGCTGTAAATCTGGGTTTCGGAAGATGGATCTCGAAAGCGTAAAATCTGGGTTTCAATCGAGAAGATGAAGTCAGGGGAAAAGAAGATGAAATCTGGGTTTCAATTGGAGAAGATGAAGTTAAATATGGATTTCAATCTCTCTCCGCCCTCCGATCTTCCCCTTTCTTTCCCTCTGGTCTTCCCCTCACACCCACCATTGCCACGTAAATATTTTTCTCTCTCTCCCATCTCTCTTCCTTCCCCTTCCCCAGCGCAGTCTCTCTCCCATCTCTTTCCCATCTTCCGCCTCAATCCATCATTCCCTTCCAAATGAAAAATCCAACAAGCTAAAACAACCCAGAACCGCAACTCCACTGTCCATCGATGGTGATGGTGGCGATGTTGACGGTGGCGATGATTTGGGGATTAGGGATTTGGTGGCTCCATGCGCCGAGGTTAAATCCTTAATACCAATCAACTACTCCTTCCTCCCCACGAATCGACTGCTCCTTCCTCCATGTCCATTGCTCCATGCTTTCCATCTTGAAAAATGCCAGTTATAGTCTTCTGCAACTGTTTGAATAATTGATTTAGTCCCCCAATCTGGATCAGCCTGAAACCTTTGGATGTACCTTCGAGCGATGAAGTTAGCATCCCCGAACTTATTCTTGAACACCATGATACAACCTTCATGCTGCAGAAAACATGACCTTATTTGACAGCCTTTCCGTCGTCTGTTGGAGCTACCCATATGTTCCAAGGGCATCCTGTTTGACAAACAACCTGGACTCTTTTCTTGTCACTATGCTGGAACTTGAGAGGCTGTTTGCTGTTGATGGAGTAATTCTTGATGGCATCCTTAAATGTGTCGAAATTCCTAAACACTTGGTGTAGACAGAATTGAGGATCACTCATGTCTTTCTCTGGGTTGAACTCAGGATATCTTGAACGATTGGTACTCTTTGTGCTTCATCATCCGAGTGGACACTTCCCAGATAATCTGAATCATACACGACATCCTCAATATCTCCATCAAACGCATCATCAATAAAAATGTGATGGTTGTCACCATCACCATTATTATCAAAACCTGGTTCCTGATCACTACGTTCATCATTATCATTCAAACCTGGTTCCTGATCACTATCTAGCCTGCCATCAACATGAATCTCATTTGATTCCCTAGTGTCACCTTCTCTGCCAGTCTCCCAATCCATATCAACATGAATCAAATTTGATTCATCCTTATCATGTAAACTTGGTCCCTGATCATTCTCACTTGTTCCCATTCTGCAACCTTCTCTTTCATTGGTCATGTTGATCTGCAGAATGTCATGGTCACTTTCTCTGTCATTTTCTTCTCCATCTGCTTCTAGTCTAGCTTTACTCAGTTCTTCTTTATTGATTAGGTACACCTCCACAAACTTGGTATCTTGAATAACCTTGGTAGCCATATCTAGAATGTCCTTGTCACAGGTCAGTTCATGTAACCCTTCCTTTAGCTGCTCTCCTGGAATTCTCCAATAATATGTCCAACCATGAATTGTCCTATATTCCTCCATCAATCTGACACTTTCAATATAACCGAAATCTACAAGATATCCATCCAGCTCCATCAAAGATAAACAATTAGGATCAATCCAATCCAAATATTTCAGTTCACCGCCGAAATAGCATAGGTCTTCGTCGACTATATACACCATTTCTCCTTTATAATGGAGCTCGATTGTGAAATTGTCATCATTGACTCTTAAGATAAACATAATAATTGTCAATGTAACTGTAGCAACTGAAGGAATTTGCAGCAACAACATGTGCACCAACTGAAGAAATTTGCAGCAACAAATATGCAGCAACTTAAGAAATTTGCAGCAATCAAACATCAAAACTCACCATATGTCGGAATGAGCTCACTGTCTCCTACTTCCCTGATCGTTGGACTCATTTTTCAAACTAAAACAGAAGGAAACAGCAGCTTGTAGTGCTATAATCTGTTACAATAATAAATTGAAAGTTCAAACAATAGAAAACTTAAATATTCACCAAACAGGAACAACTCAGAATTTAACTCACGAACAGAGCATCACATGATCAGGTAAAAATCTCTTTATTCACTCACCTATTTTAAGCCATCAACAAACTATCTCCTTCAGCCTCTAGTTCTAAATCCCTAAGAACAAGTCGAACAACAAACATAATCTGAAGTTAGAGGAAGAACGAAAAGAATGGCATGCTGCAGGGGTCTTATTCAGTTACCAGAAACAATAGCAACCGGAATTTTTTTGTTTACCTTTCTTCTCTCCGCCGTCTTTCTAATAATATCTCTATTGACAGTTTCAGGGAGTGGGGACAAAAGAAGAAAAGGACAGCAGAAAGAACACAAATTTTCTTAATAGCTCGCAAGATTCTTCCAGCAGCAGGGTAAAAAGATTTGGACAGCGCAGCAGTAGCAGATACTGGAGAAAGGACGATTGTACAAAGAAGAAGCGACGACTCTGGGGCATAGGAGGGTTAGTTTCTTCTCAATATTGTCTTCGCTGAATCTGTTTCTTCTCTCTGCCGTCTTTGTAAGCCGACCTTGCTTTTTTAGTTTCTGAATTTCTGTTTGAATAGAGAGCAGGGAGACGAGAAGTCGGGCGATCAGCTTGTGTTTTTTGCATCTGTGGGCCCAGGGTTTGATGTGGCAATGACTCAGCACGTTTGCTGACATGGATTGCCAGCGCGTCATGGAAAAATGCCATTTAGCGCTTGCCGTTACATATCGTGACGGATATGCTAACGTTGCTACCGAAGTTTGACTTAAATGCTTTAGTTGCAACGAAACTAATCATAGTGGTTAACGTGCAACAATTATAAAAGTTAAATGGCACCCGATGCAATTAACCCTTGTTTCTCCTCCAGCGTTGGTTATCTCCTTTCCACACCTCCTTCGCCAACCGCTATGGAATCAACAGTCTCCGTCGGAGAGAGTTGGGGAAATATATATTTAATTAGGTATTTGTTTTGAATTAGGGATTGAGGAGAGAGGATTTGGGGAGAAAGTGAAAGAAAGAATTGAAAAGAAAGGGGTGTTCGGCAGGCCGCTGCAGAGAAGAGAGGGACGTACAAATATAAAAAACATTATTTCAATTTTAATTTATTTATATTTTTTCATTTATCCATTTGAAAAAGTGTTCCTTTTTTATGTAACTTAATTTATAAAAAATAAATCAAAATGACGTGGCAATGATATTGATGACTTATCGCTGACGTGTGTGATCATTTGGCATCCTAGTCAGCATAACGTTAACTGAACTGACGGAATTTCTAACACCTTTAAAGTTTGTAACAGAATTGGCTATATTTGTCATGAAACTTTCAAAAAACTGGCTATTTTTGGTATTTCGCCAAAAGTGGCTATATTTGACAAAATCGTCAAAGTTTTGGCTACACAAGTGTATTTGGCCTAAATCCAAATCATACTCAAATTCATCACCCAATCCATCAGGCGACTAACCTTCACCAGGATAGACTACTGAGGCAATAAGCACAGAACTCCACTACTGGAATTGGGTTCCATTACAAAGCAGTAGATTGATTAACTCTCGTATAACCAATCTACCACTACCGAATGATGAAGCTCTAACAACCTAATCAGATTCTATCTATCTCAGGTTGCAGCAGAAATCTAGAAAAGACGATTAGACTTCAATTGATTCAATGAATCATGCATCATTCGATTAAAACCAAACAATATAACAATCCCAAGTCATTACAATCAAGATCCCTAACACATGGAACTAGGGTTCTTCATACCCAAGTGAGAGAAGGTTCTACTCCATAGAGAGAGAGAGAGAGGGAAACAGAATACAAAGCAGTCATACTCATAACAATGGGAAGAATATGCTATGGGATGTCAATCTTCACTCCTTGGGATGCAATCTGAGCTTCAATGGTGAGAAATCCACTCCAAATAGCTAATGGGGTTTGTTCTTCGCACTTTCTCTCTCTAGAACTCTGTTTTTGCTCCAAAAAGTCGATTCTCTCTCCTTTGGCTCGAATCTGCCTAAAAAACCCAATTCTGGGCGAAATACAGGCTGAATTACGGTCGTAATCATGGTCTGCCCGTAAATCGCCCAAAACGCGCGTTTTACTTAGCTCCGAGGAGGGGAATTACGGCCGTAATTTCCAAATTACTGCCAATAATTATGGAATTACGACCGTGGTTACTGTGACTCTTGCCCGTAATTGACTCAACGACAGGAATTCTGGGGAATTAGGCTCGGCATTGCATTTACGGGCAAGACAGGAGCAATTACGACCGTAATTGGCCAGGGTCTGCTCGTAATTCTCATCTTGAACCGCCAAATGACCTCCAAATGACCCGAAACTTGCGCCCATACACCTCTTTACTTGCTAGGACCTGAAATACGACAAAACAACACAACCTAGCGTAAAATAGGCCAAGGAACAACAATTTCGAGCTAAAATGGTCAGGGAACAAGAGTGAAAACATGTGCAAATACGACGCTATCAAATTCCCCCACACTTAACCGTTTGCTTGTCTCCAAGCAAACCATGTCAGATACAAGGTAAGCTCGAAACATCTCAATCGTGCAACCCTTGGGGACATATCACATAGGCACGAAACATGGGAATCACACTGGCTTTCAAACATCAACACATGAACAACTTCAACCGCAACCTGGACAACCACCACAGAGGACATGTGAGTGCATCAAAATCGAGTAAAGGAGGAGTCTCCCTTCTGTTCATCAACCAACATAGACTCGACTCAACCACTTACTCAAGACAGTCACCTCATGCACAAAACTTAAGATATCAGAGTTGAGACCGAGCAATCTAGGTCCTCACCGGGGTAAAGAGTATAGATAATATGAGAAAATGAATCGCTCACTCTCGACCAGTGGGGTCAGGACAATTTGATGCGAAAAATACGCATGCTTATTCTCTCAATCCCTAACGTCTCTTCACCATGAAGGAAGCCTCTAAATGCTAGAGTTCACATCTGGGGTGTCACCATTAACTAATCCGGAGGTCTTAGACACAGGTTCAAATGACTGGCAAGGGTCTTGGACATGGGGAAAAGGCCTTTTAGGTGGTGGAAATATTCATAGCACAAGGTTCCACATTTCCCAACCCAACACAATTACAGTCAATCAAACCACTTACTTCCTTTCTGCCATTCTGCATTACTCACATTCTTTAGAGCACAAGAGCGAAGGAGGTCATATAAATGTTAACATTTCCAAGCCAGACTGCTAAGAAACACTACTTAATGGGCACTATTCAGATTTTTTTGTGGTGGCTCTCTTTTGCTTCCATTCATTTTTTTCTTTTCTTTTCCTTTTCATTTCTTGAGAGAACCACCACCTATGCACATTTTTCAAACACATGCCCAACTTTTTAAGAACTACCTCCAACCCTCACATTAGATTTAGCAGAAACAGCAAAGAACATGTAAAAACTACTCTGTGGAACCTCCTAAGAGATGCAAAAGGGTGATTTTCCATTGTAGACCGAAAGAAAGGATAACACACGGCTCAAAGGGCTGACTAGGGGATATGACACATCAGGACAGTCAATTTGGTCGTGGGCTATTCCTATGCCTCCATCATCTTAGCTAATGACAACGTGAATGCTACACATCATGGAAGAGGGAACTATCGCACAAGAAAGAAACGAGCAGGCTCAAATCTCACATGACTACCTATATGCTCTATCTCTCATTCTGATTCTCTGAACTAGATGCATAAACGACTGTCAAGAACAAGTGATCAATCCAAGTCACAGTTGGTAAGCAAACAGTTGAAAAACTGAACCCCTACACAATTCTACTGTACGTTTCAGTCATCATTATAGGCTGTCCTAGTTACACTTCAGTTGTCATGCAACAATTCGAAAGCCATTCGATTCATCAATCAAATCACATTGCCAATATGATCATGCAAACCTCAGTACTTGGAGCCCTCAAATCTCAAGATTTGGACAGTGGACTAGGCTCCAAGCACACAAACTCATATAGCAGTCAACAATAGATAAACACCCCCCACACTTAAGCACGACATTGTCCTCAATGGAGCAGAGGGAAAGACAAGGGGAAACGATGTTACCGGGAATACGGACTGTCGGGGGACTGTAAATCGGACCAGACAGTAGGGCCAGAGTCATCAAATCACACTGGGTGATAAAAACCATAGTTCCAAGTGGACAAACCAAAAAAAAAAAAAAAAACAAAAGAAAAACAAACCTTGGTGGGGTTGCCTCCCCACAAGCGCTTCTTTACCATCGTTTAGCTGGACGCTAGTAGGGTGGATGCTTAGAGAGGTGAAGGAACAGGTGCCTCCAAGAGCGGATCCACATCGCTCTTGAGGTACAGCTTCAGATGGTGGCCATGCACACGACGAGTGTGACCACCAGCACTCGTCAACTCGACCTGGCCATCCGGCAGGATGCAAGCGAGTGAATACTCGGATGACCAAGGCGGTCGAGGCTCAGGAGGCGGGACCAGCTCATAGTGGTCTCCGGTTTTCTTTTGAGCAGGCTTAGCTACCTGCAGCTTTGGTCGCCACTCCTCCTTGATCTTGTCTGTTGGTAACAGAGTGGATGGGAGTGGCGGCGAAGATATGTGAGAGGGTTCCTGCAAAATGGGAAGCACAGAAGGATACACGACAGACTCGTGCTCCTGGTGAGAAACAGCATG